CCGTGAGGACGTTGACGATAAGAATCAAGAGGAGGAGAAGATCAAGCGATGAGATGTGAGGTGGTGGGAAGAGGGAAGAAGTTGGAGAGGGAGACAAGGGAGGAGGAGGAGGTGAACGATAAGAATTCAACCATGAGGGAAGAGGGGTATGAGATGGAGGGATGGGAGGGATGGGGAAGAGGGGAGGGTAGAAGGAAGAGCTACCGTAGCATAGAAGCAGTGTCTTCCCTTGTAACCGCCGTAGGTGATCGGGATGTTCCAGTGGAAAGTGACATGCTGGGTGGGGCACGCACGGGTCGAGCCGTCAGCGACGCCGATGGAGGAGAAGGCGAGCATGGGAACTAGTGCCGTGCTGAAGCCTTGCGGGTCCAGGAAGGCTCCTGGCGGCATAGAGCCCTGCTCGTCATGTCAGGAGGAGGGTGAGACAGGAGAGGGGAGGGAGGAAAGGGAAGGGAGGAAACCGGAGGGAGGGAGGAAGAGGACAGCAGAAGGAAGAGGGAGAGCAAGAGGAGGACCATCGTAATGTTGGAGGAGTCGAAGCAGTTGGTGTCGTTGGCGTACAACGTGAAGCTCAGCACTCGCCCGACATACGCAAAGGTCGTGTTGGAGTACGGGTCCAGATCCTGACTGTAGGAGCTCCAGAGGACCGGTCTTGTGTCCTTGAAGACCTCGATCTCCACACAGCGGGTGGGCTGGCGAGAGGAGAGCAACCGGGCTGAGAGGCAGAAGAGCAGAAGACATCATTCCGCTTTGCAATGGCGTTCACACAGATCACTGTAACCCCGTCCTGACCCCAGGAGGGAGTCCAGCTGAGCTCGATGGAGGCGTCGGGGGTCGGGCAGGCCTGCTGGGACCAGCATGTAGAGCACTGAGAGCCTCCGTGGCAGTCGGAGCCGGCCGGGTTGCAGACCTTGCCAGTGTCGGGGGGCAGGCAGGTACAGGAGGAGGAGGACTGGTTACAAGCAGTGCCCGTGCTCTCCCTGCAGTATCCGCTGCCCGCCGAGCACACGTACGTCGACACGCTCCTCCCACCGTTGATGACCGAGAGCTGGGCGCCGGGTGGGAGACGGGAGAAGGAGAAGCCGATCCCCATGCCCTGCATACTCGTGGAGGAGGAAAAGACCATCTTGGGGATGGAGAAGCCGACGTAGCCGAGGTTGCGGTAGGAAGAGAAGGCAGGGTAGAAGATGTCCTGTGCTCCCGTCGTGATGTTGGGGATCGCCTCGTTAGCTTGCAGCTCAACCAGTCGGATCGCAAACTCCAGCGTCGCCGTCGAGTTCCCCTCCCGCACCTCCACCACGACGTCATACAGCCCGGCCGACATGTTGCCGCTGCATATCTTGGTCACGTCGCACCTCGACAGGGAGGAAGGGTTGTCCGAGTCGTACACAGGCCCAGCAAGGATCGTCATCTTGCCCGTGCTGGAGTCGAGCTGGAAGGAAGCAAGGTTCCTCGGAGCCTCAGTGTTCAAAGTGGCTGCTCCTATGGCAGACGGGAGCCGCCAAGTCAGCTGCCCCCTCCGTCCTCCTGGGATCTCCCCGACCTTCCCAGCTGGGATGAAGACGTGTGGGTCCGCGTCCGACGGCCGGGCCTTCTTGACAACCGTGTGGACGGGTATGGAGGAGAGCTGGGGTGAACCTCCGTCATCTCTTACGTTGATCGAGTTGGTCAGGATCCACGAAGTGTGCGCGTTGTTGACCAAGTCAGAGTGCCGGCAGCAGCCCTTGAAGGTGGTGGTGTAGGAGAAGGCGGTGGTTGAGAGGAGGAGCGGGTAAGTGTGCTGGAAGGTGGCCACGCTGTAGATCCAGTCCTCCTGTATGCTGTATCCTTCCACCACGAACGTCATCGGCATCAGGATCGTCCCGTCCCCGAAGTCGAACATGATAGTCTCGTAGCCACTTGGCTTGAAGCGATCGCCGGACACCAGCAGGCCGTCAGTTCCTGATCCCTTGAAGTTTGCGGAGCTGTAATCCCTGCGGAAGACCGCCTCAATGGTGAACTCCACGACAGGCGGCTGCTGCTGCATCTTCTTCCAGCTGACACTGCCGTAGCGGAAGTGACCGCCGTTGGCGTTGACGCTGATAGAGGAGAGGGTGCTGGTGATGCAACATGAGAGCAGAAGGCAGGAGAGGATGGCAGCGAAGCAACTTGGACCAAGGTTGATCATGCTCCGATAGTCCTTTGGCTGTTGAGCTGAATGACTAGAAAATCTCCTCCTGGTCTCCTGTTGTTGCACCTGAGCGTCAAAATGTGCGTACAACTGTCAGTTAGCTGCCCTGGGGCCTCTAACTACCTGTCGAGTAAACATTCAGCAACTTCCAATTGTGACAAAGTTCTGCACTAGGACTCTGCACCAACAGGCAGACTTTGCCGCATCAAGGTTCAATGTGCTTGTTTTGATTTCATTTCCTACACAGCATCGCGAGTGCGATATGGCATATTGATTCTCCTGCATTCCACTCCACTGTTTTACTCCCTTTTCATCTTTTGTCACTTTTTCTACCCTTGTCGGGTGATACGTAGTCTAATCTTTTGCAGCCACCCTGTCCTTCCTTTCTTCCACTTCTCTCTCTCCTCTCTTCAAGTCCATCGTCTCTCCTACCTCTCTCTTCCTCTCTTCCTCCTCCCTCATCGCTCCATCATCAGGCTCTGGTCTGCATCGCCATATCCAACTGCAGCTTGACAACCGTTACAACTCTTGAATTGTTGTAACTTGCCCATTCCGAAGTTCAGTGACCCCACGGTCCGGCGCGGCCGGGGCCCGGCGCCGGCGGCCGCACCGGCACCCGCCCCCCCGGGTCCGGGCTGGCCGCCCGGCCAGCCCCCCCCTCCCCCCACCCCCGGGGCCACTGCACTGACCGTACTTTCACGTGTCGCGAAGTCAGTCTCTGACCTTTGAACCGTTTATTTATTTATTTATTTATTTTTTTTTATGAGTCATTCATGATACACTACAACTACACCGTCCTGAACGTCCGGGAAAAGGCTGCCGGCCGCTGAGTCAGGCCGGGCGCCCGGTGCCCCCCCCAGCCGGGCCGGGCCCGGCCGGGCCCGGGGGTCACTGCCACGGTCCGACTCTGAGTCAAGGCACAGTGACCGAGGTGGGCATGGCGGACAGGTCACTGGGGCCCTGAGGCGAATCAGTGGACTTCAACGAGGGTCTGCCAGGCTTCCGACCAGCTCCGCTGCGCTTCACCTGTCGGAACGTCAGGTCACTCAGCTGCTGAAGAGGCAGCTGGACTGATCAGACTGACGTGGTCGAGGTGTTTGTGCCCAACGCAGTAGACGGGCTTCCTGCCTTGCGGGCCGTAGTTGGCATACTTGAAGCATCCCTGGTGCTGGCAGCGAGGGTTCCGGACGTCCTGGCAGCCCGGGGGCTTGTGTTTCCTGCAGAAGGCAGGAGCAGAGGAGTTGACTGCGTAGAGGCGGCGCCTGCTGCACCCATCGTGCTGACATGGCAGTCAGCGGCAGAAGCCTAGAAGGTCCCCGCCTGGCGCTCACCACGCATAGAGCGAGGGGGAGGCTGGGCGTGTTCTTGATCTCCTTCCAGGTGGGAGTGAGCTGAGGGTGGATTTGATTGCTGGGAGGGAGGAGGA